GGGTCCGCGGCAGTCCGAGCATCCTCCCCCTTCGCTCTCAGCCGCAGGAGATGACCGTGAAGCGTTTGGAGATGCAGGACATGTTGTGCAGCACGATGCCCAGGAGGAAGAGCAGCACGCAGGCCACCAGGATCACCGTGCACACGCCCGACCACGTGGAGCCCTTCCCCGCTCCCCCCCCCGGGCCGGTGACTCTCCTCTCTCCCTCGCCTCCGTCCAGCCCCATCCCCACCGCCTCCAGCCCCATGGCCAGGCCCAGGGGCTGCTGCTCGGGCATGGTCACCACCGTCACCCCCTTCTGCTGGCTGCCGGGCAGGAAGCGGCACCCCAGCTCCCCCGACAGCCCCAGAGCCCGCTCCTTGGCGAGGGGCAGCGGCAGCATGTAGCAGCCGTTGCTCGGGAGGCGGATGAAGACGGGCGTGTGCTCCGAGGCGTGAGGGATGGCGATGACGGTGATGATGTCGGGGTCGTCGGGGAGCTGGGAGACGGACAGGCCCGGGGGGAGCTTGGTGACGCAGCGGCACCAGGGGCAGCGGATCTCCTTCTGGCTGCTGCGCATCTGGGTCAGACACACGGAGCAGCACGTGTGCCGGCAGTCCAGGAGCTTGGGCCGCCGGCGGGGGCTGTAGTAGTTAAAGCAGATCTGGCACTCCAGAATGGAATCTTGGGAAAGAGTTTCCATTTTGAAGAATATGGGAAGGTGGTCTCTTGTTGTATAAGCAATTGTTCTAGAGAGGTATGCACAACAGGTCAAGAGAAAGTCCAGGTGAAGTTAAGAAAGAAAACCGTCAACAAACGTCCACAACTCCACAGTGATGTCACAGCTTTCTGGTGGCAACATAGTCATCCATCTGCAACAGAAGAGAGAGAAAGCATGGTTGAGACACTTGAAGCCAAACATCTTTAAAGACTGCAGTAAAAAATGTTTAGTACTATATGCAAAAAACACAAAAGTTCTGTGGATATATTTTTTCTTTCATTAATAGAATTAGTCCTGACATGCATTTGTTGACATGAGGATGAACTGGGCAACATGTTGGTGAGTAAAGTCACACAGCATTCTTCTTAATATTTAGTTGGCAACTACACAGAAAGCTAAATCCATCTTAGCAAATCTGGACATTATAACGAATTTCACATCAAGTCAGAAATACAAGTTCTGAAAAGGAGGTGTAGCAAGTTCAATACAAATTCTCCTCGATCGGAAACCGTAAAACTTTCAAGGACAGCAAAAACAAGTTCTCCAACACTCACAATTGAATAATACATGTTCAAACTTAAATCTGACAGGGTCGTTCAAAACTAAGTGTGTGCACGTATCAGCACTTTGCATTTGAAAAGCATCCAGCAAAAATACAAAAGCAACACTTGAATTGAATGAGCTACAGTAAAACTTGTTATTGACGCAAAACGTCCAAAACCTTTTTACAACTGAACTGAAACGACCCTCAGGGAGCTGCAGCGGTCAGCAATGCATCATGGATGATAGACTCATTATTATGTACAGCACAGCGTACATCTCCGCCGCCAGTTGGCTGCTGAGAGGCGAGTTCACGAGACCCCTGGCCTCCGTATCCGTGGTAAGTACGGTTAATTCTTTTAACTGTCTCCTTCAGGCCACAGACTCCATAAACAATTCCTGCCTCCTCCCAATCCTCTTGCATAATCACATCTTCCGTGTTAATCCATGCGGAAGTCGTGATCGTTTTCTTTTACAGATGATTAAACACCGTCAAAATAGCAGCGAGGAAACAATGAATACCAAACAGGGTCCTGCCGACATTTCGCTTTCTTTTTTGCATCCAAATTGTCAAGTGTGAAAACTGCTGAAGAGGGAAGATGATTTTTTTTTTTGCGCTGCCATCGCAACAGAGCCGGTGTCCCTCCGGGGCTCGACTGTGTGGAGACAGGAAGAGTGAAGAGGGGGACAGATGGAGGCTGGAGATGGAGAGGAATAGTGATAGAAATGGAAGAAAGGTGACCAGTGATTGTCTTGCAACACCGTACATCGCAGTCCATTATCAAAAACAAGATCTCAGGCAATTAAAGTCGTCATGGCGCCCTGTGGGGGAGACGGACGTGGCAATGACAGATAAGAGTGTGCTCACACCAGACGTGATGGAGCGGTTTATTCAGTCTGGACTCCTTTAGTCTGCTTCGATGAGACGGCTGATCAAATTCGACCTTGGGCAGTGGTAAATAAATGCAATATGATTTGAGTGAAATCCCACATAGAATCCGCTTATCAAAACCTGAATGCTTTGCAAAGCGTTTTATCGATCGACCCATCAAATATCTACGTCCACAACTTCATTGCTGCAGCTTTAAGGTATCCAAGATGCCCTTGTCCGCAGCCGTGTCCTCCAGCTCTGCCCGGGGGGTTCTGAGGCGTGTTCAGGCCATATGGGATACTCCCTGAGGGTCTGCCCCGGGGTGTTCTGCAGGTTGCCCAGAAAACATCCTCGGTAGGTGTCCAGCAGGCATCTTGTTTAGAAGCCAACACTTTTCTTTCAGAGGATTTACTAGTTTTGACTATTATGACTACTTTTAAGAGAGTTTATAGGAAGGCATCCCCTCGTTCGATCGTCTAGATTCTGACCTTGTTAAGTAGTTATGATCAAGTTATCCACAAAAAACTATAACATTGTCATCAAAATGTAGTGTTTATGCAATCAGTGTCAGACTTACTCATAACTAGTTCAACGTCCGATCAAATAAAGGCTTAAAATGAGTAAAAAATAGCACTTTTATTCAGTTGAGGTATAGGAATCTGTATTGACACATCGCTATAGCAACCTAGTCTTGTAATGTTTCAATAATTTTGGATGAACTAGAATGTATTAACGAAAAAGTGATTCTTCATTTATCCAGTAAAAATCGCCAAAAATGTAAATCAAAATATAACCCTAAGTCTCACTAGAATGCCTCATGAAGGTGGAATATGTGTGTGTCCATTTAGCACTAAGACAACAGGAAGTGACCTCAGAGTTTCCTTTACAGTCATGTCAAGCAGTCAATGGTAGTCTTCCTCATGTACGTCTCATTCCTTCTCCCCCAGCCCTCCCTCAGGGCCAAACACCTCCTCTCCAGACCCTCTGCCTCCTCACCCTGCCTTCCCCTGCTGACCTAGTTTCTCCGCACTGACACCGCGTCAAAGTCAATGGGAAAGTGCAGAAATACCTGGCAGTTTCACGAAGAAGTGAGGAGAGGGGAGCGCACAGGAGAGGGAAGCAGAGACAGGGGGCTGCCCTTGAGGGGGAAGACAGCCCTGGGTATTACTGAATCCCTTTCCCAAAGATAAGGATTAGCTTTGATCTGACATAAACGCTTTGTGGCTCAATATTCCCATACACCCAGTCACTCTTCCCTTCGTCATCCTTCCCTTCTCCTGGATACGTTTTTCCTCTTCTTCACCGGGTGTATGATTTCCCTTTTCCTAACCTCAATTTTCTTTCTTTCCACCAGTACATTTTCAGTGTTTTCCTTCATTTCAAGGAGTAAAGTAAAACTGAAGAATACATACAAAAGAAATTATCAAATCACAAAAGGCAGCCATTTTTGACATGTGAACTTGGTGCCATGCAAAAATCCTAACTACAGAAATGAGCTGCATTTTCAACATGTTTCACTAAAAATGAGCAATACGTGCATAAGTCAAAGAAAAACCCTGAAATGTGAGCAGAGTTGTGTTACTTCTATGAAATGTTTGGCCATCAACAATTATATTAGCCATGCCCAAATAAATACTGTATTGTTCTGTCTCTAATATTTCTTGTGACTTCATTTTGCTTCAGCTGCTGCTGGTAGTCCCTAAAACCAACCAAGGTGTTTGCGAGAAAGCGTATACAGAGGCTTGTCATCTCTGTAGGTTGAACAGTTTGTATATTGAGCCTTCTCAGCGGCAGCCCCCAGGCTCTGGAACGACCTGCCCCCCCCTCCAAACTTTGAAGTCTCGCCTAAAGACCCACCTCTTTTCCCTCTCTTTCGAGTCAGTCTGAGCTATACCTCAACATTATGCAGGAATAGTAGCTGCAGGGCTGCAAATGACAATTTCATTCACTTCATCAGTTATTAATTGACTATTTTATTGATTCATTAATTATTTGATCCACGAAAAGACAAAGAATGCCCACTAGTATTTCCAAAATTGCCACGCCTTTAATAGAAAGCTAAGAAAAATGTAGCAAGTATTTATTTTTGAAATCTATTTTGGAAGATTTGTTCAATAATTATCACTGAGCTTCCATATCCGAGGATGTCTTTTACAGTTGTCCTCGCTGCTCACACAGAGGTGAGTGGGATGGAAGAGATCTTCTGAGGTTACGATGAAAACAAGGTCCTTCAGGGTTACTGTTCTCTGAAGCCAAAGAAAGTGCATGTGCTCTTCAGGAGCCACCACAATATGATTTATTGGTATACAGTAACTCAGCTGTAACCAGGGCAACGTGGCTTTTCTGACCCATTTTCTATCACACCTTGAGAAACACAACCAAATACCGCTCCATTAAAGTCTGGTAGCAGCTTTAAACCACAGTGATTCTGGACCGGAGACACGATATACAAGTAATAACTATTTGACTGAAGATGTAGGGTTTATTTTAGATGCTCTATCCGGTTTATTTTTGTAAAAGCGTGACATTTAGAGTGATTTTGTGGCTTCATCAGGAGACCAGGGAAGGACATATGACTTGGTAATGACGCAGAGTGACCGAGCGGAGGACTACCCCACCCCAAGATGCCTGTGGTCCACCAGGAGTAACCAACAGAAAACACACACACACACACACTGAACGCACTGCAAGGAAACACACACGTTCCCTCAGGGCCTCCAAACACAATCAGCCGAGGAGAAAGTGCACTCGTCCTCGTAGACAGAAGTTAAAAATAGCTGCCCCAGCCAGAAGTCCACACATACACACACTTTGTACACACAATGTCGTCACAAACACACACACTCCACCCAGCTCGATATATTAAACTACCTGCTATCGACGGGAGGTAGGCTGTGAGCAGCATGGAGGGAAAACGTGTTAATCTGCAAACCTTAGGTGGATTGAACCGGTGAAATGTCAGCGAGACGATGATGCACAGTGTGATGTCTGCTCATATAATGCATGTGCATGCTGGGTCATTATTGGACTTGTGTGAACATCGAAGTGGAAAGCCTTAATTATGTAGCGCTTTATAGACTATATATCAAATCAGACTGATGCAGGAGTTTTGCGGCGACCATGCATATTAGAATTTCAGAAAATCTAAAAAATATATATAAATACAGGGGATAAAAACTACTGTTTAGTTTGCTTGTTTTTTCCAAAATGTGGTGAAAAGCTTTGGGAAAACAACTATTAAATGGACCGTGAGTTAGGTTTGTTGTCATATTATTCATCTAAATTAATAAAAATATACCGTAATTTTCGGACTATAAGCCGCACCTGAATATAAGCCGCAGCAGCGGCATACCACTCTCGGTTCCACTTTTACTTTTGCGCGCTACCTGTCTCACTCTTTTCCGGCCTCCAGCTTTTCCTGCTGGAACCCGCCGCTTAAAGGTGGGGGTCCGCGGACCGGCCATAGAGCCCATAGAGTTAAAGGTGTTGGCCGTTAGCTGTAAAAATCCATAGATTGGCAGCACCGTTATATAAACCGCAGCGTCGAAAAATAGGGAAAAGGGCGCGGCTTATAGTCCGAAAATTACGGTAACTATAACAGTAAATAGTACATATCATTGGAGTGATGGTCCATGTGAAATATAGAATTATATGAGATTCTACACTTACAAACCATGAAATGTATATCTTTAACTCGATGTGTGAGTACATACACATTGAATATCTGTTGAAAATTATAC